GGGTGAGGGTTTAGGGCTTTGGGTTTAGGCTTTAGGGTTTAGGGTTTAGGGTTTAGGGTTTAGGGTAGGGTTGAGGATATCATGGGCTCGGGTTCCTGCAGGAGACTCTTGAAAGGTTTGCGATCATCTCAGGGTCGGATCCTAGGATGGCTGTTGCGTTTGGCGCTTCCTGCAGATAGGGGCATAGGGTGCCTTTCGCATCGTTTTAGGAATCCTGCAGAAAACTTCGGTGGGGCTCAAAAGTTGCCTTCCGGTTGAGGGTATAGGGCTTAGGATATAGGGCTTAAGGTAGAGCCCTAAACCCTGAACCCTAAACCCTAGACCCTAAACCCCGGGGAATCGGTACCAGGCTGAGGGTTTAGGGTCCAAAGGTCGGGACAAGCCCCCCTGGAACGCCCATGAAAGAAGAGCCAGCTTTGTTTAGTAAGGTTGAGGTTCAAGCTGTTTAGGGGCTTAGGGTTTAGGGCTTAGGAATTCAAACCATCATAAGAGCAAGATACAGAAAGGCAGTGCAGAGGTGTGAATTATCTTCTTGCAGTCCCCATAGAAGAATATCACCAAATGCTGCTCTTGCCATGAAGGCCCTTACCCAGGCCGAAGTTATCAGAGGAAGCCTTCCCCAAAGGCTCTCAGGACTCATATCTTAAGGCTTCTGGGCCCAAAGACCATACTATATAAGGCTTTTGACAGGTTTTGGGGTGGCATATGCTGGCCCCAAAACTGCAACCTGCCGAAAGAAAACCCGAGAAGTTTCGTCAACAGGGGGGTTGCCTCAAACCCCTAAACCCCAAGCCCAAACCCCCTAAACCCCCAAGCCCCAAACCCCAAACCCCTAAACCCTTTAGGGTTCATGCACAAGGCCCAGGTTCTAAATTCTGACGATAGTCTCCATTGCAGTTCCTTTTTTTGGTTTAACCAATTCTATATTAAGGATCCCAAAAGGTAACCCCAAAAAGGAACTACAATGGAGACTATAGGTAGGGTTCAGGGAAAAGGGGTGTCCATCCAGCCTTTTGCCGGGGCTTGCGTCCCTGCGGGCCCCTGGCAGAGGGCGTTGTGTGCTCAGGTGCTGCGGGCTGAAGCTGCGGAGGGTTTTAGGGTTTACGCTTTAGGGTTTATAGGGCTTACCCAGCAGGTTCACTAACTGGGACGGTTTGTATCGGTCTTTACAGGGTTTTTCTTCGAAGATGTGTAGGGTGAGGCAACGTTTTGAAAGTAAGTTTTCAGGTTATGCGTTATGTGTATGTTGTGAGGTTATGCATGCAGTGTAAAAGGTTTGTTGGCTGCTGTTGTCTTGGGTGATTTGTATGAGACACTCTGTTTCCGTGGCCAGGCACAGTTCTATGTCCAAGTGCGCACTACAGGAAACTGGAAGCCTCTGGGATGCACAGCGGAGCCACTGGGGACAGGAGGTCGTCCAGAGGCATAAAGCTAGGCAGAGCCCTGGGCTTCTTCTCCAAACGGGCGGGCAGGGAGGGAAAAGCTTGAGAGATGAACGGAGGCGGCCACTCGTCAGGTTCCTCAAGCCTCAGCAAGCAGGTACAATGAGACACTCTGTTTCCGTGGCCAGGCACAGTTCTATGTCCAAGTGCGCACTACAGGAAACTGGAAGCCTCTGGGATGCACAGCGGAGCCACTGGGGACAGGAGGTCGTCCAGAGGCATAAAGCTAGGCAGAGCCCTGGGCTTCTTCTCCATAACATTGGCGCACAAGTCCAATTCAGTGCCTGGCCCTCACTGCAGTCCGAAAAGGACGGCCAAAGGCCGACTGAAGCGCTCATAAATGGCATTCACCAGAGCAGCACTGAGGCGTCGACACAAGCCTGATGGATACGAACGGGCCTGCCTGACTCGTGTCGCTTGCTCATGGGCCAGCAGGCGAGCATGCGGCTTGCAACTGCGACTGCAAATGCCCTGCCGGCCCGTACAGTGTCTGACCACTGCGTGCAACGAAACATGGCTTGCAAGCAACCTGGTGCGCTGACGCCGTGAACCTCCGTCCTGGCAGTAGTCAGTGCAATGCTGGTGAACCTGCAGCTGGCGGCACAGACGACGCACACATGGGACTTGCCACAAATGCGCAGTATGAGGGCTCGCCAAAGCGACAGGAATGCTTTTGCGCATGCATGCTCTAAAGACTCGCACGGTGAAATGAACGAGCTTGGTGGCCAACGGAGTGCTTTGCCGCAGAACCGCTCCTGAGCCAGGCAAGCACGTGAGGCCTCGGTCCAGTGCTGCACGCGGCAACGGAGCGCAGTCACCACAAACCGAACCACTAAACCACACAGCCGCAACCCGGTCAGAAGAGATGAGTTGCAAGATGAACCTTTGCAAGGGGCCTTTTGACAGGTCGTGCTCACTCCCGAAACGTATGTCGATAGGCACAATCTGAAAGGCAGAGCCAAGCATGCGCTTCAAGGCGCGACTCAAGGAAGCTTCACCGGCAAACAGCTCTAGGACAAAGAGCGGCCCGGCGGAAAGAACTCGATGAACCGGCTCGTCATGACATGCCCCACCTGCTTTTCGGCCCGGAGCGCCTCGTTTTGCTGCACCTCGGAAAGCTGTCCAAAAATCTGTGCAAGCTTGCCGCCTTGCTCGTACCTGCGCACACTGGAGAGGCAACGCCATCGACCTCTCTTGGCGATTTCTTCCATGGTGCGTAGGCCCGTGAGCGCATCTGTGCTGGCTGCACCGTGGCGGATCTGGTACGAGTGTACCACTCCAAGAGGCTGATAGCCAGCAGCGACGGCGATGTTTTTGAACACCTGTCCTGCGTGCCCCACGTCGAAGTGGAACAAAGGCTGATCTGCCTGCATGCGGCTCTTCATCCGGCCCAGGATCTGCCCAACCCACTGCAGGTATGGCTGATCGATCAAGAGATTCTCGTCCATGTCGCCTGTTTTTGAGGGCAAACACAGATCCATGGGCCCGGACGGGGACAAGAGCAGGCTGTAGTGACGACAAAGCTTGTTTGGGCTCACTATGTGCTTCACGGCAAGCTTCAAGGTTTCTCCCGGTCGGCAACTGACTGCCCATGTCAGCGCCATCCAAAAGGCAACCCAGTACTCCCCGGCCAGTACAGTTTGGATCATCATGAAAGCCAGCATCGGGTAAGGCAGGGGAGTCCGAGCTTGCGAGGGTGCCAGACGCCTGAACCCACGAAGTGCTTGACCGGCCCGAGTCAGGACGGCCACCTTTGCCACATCTTGGCGATGGTACTTGACTGCGGCCAACAGGGTCTGGGGAGTAGCCAAGCTGTCGCCCTCGAAGAACTGCTCGTTTATGGCCCAAGCCACTGCTGCATCGAGATCCGGCACCGTGTTTATCTTCAAGCGGTGTGTCTTCACGAACTGTAGGAAACCTGCCCAAGCCCGAGCGTACGACTGCTCTCGGCTCGGGGTCACCGCCTGCCGCTCCAGGAAACAGGGCTCCTTGACGTTGGACTGCGCCAGTGGGGTGCTGTCTGCGTGTTTCCGCTTGCGGCTGGCAGCCTTTTGCTCCTTGATCTGCTTTCCTGAGAGCACTGGCATCTTCTCCTGCTGCACCGCGCGGGAAGTAGAAGGCGACAGCTTGTGAGCGCCATCCTTGGCGCCTCCTTTGCGAGGAAGCATGATTGCTCTGTAGCTCTTGCGCACCAGATTTAGGATCAAAAGGCACCCATGCTTTGTTTCGAGAAGCAGCGTCTGCAGGGTTCAGTTCTGAAGCTACCCAGCGGAAGTAAGGCTGGAACCCACAACTTAAACTTAAAGCACAGGCTTGTCTACAAATGCGGTTCATCCCCTTGCTGGAGCTGCGGCCTTTGCTCAGGGCCAACACCGACGTCATGCTATCGCTCAGGACAACATGTCGTGCTCCGTGGTTTCTCTGAGCTCTAGCGAGATGCTGCAAGGTCCAGACGATTGCTCGCCCTTCAAGAATGGCGATGGGCTCCTGGCGCTGCCACTGCCCACTGCTAACCTTTTTCCACTCACAATCCAGGAAAGATAGCGGTATCTCAGGTACAGGGACTGTGGGGCATTGGGCTCGCAGAGTCTCCAGTTCCAGAATGTCCAAACACGAGCCTGCACCGTGCTTCTCAGGGACCAAAGTCGCCGCCTCTTGCTCTCGACTGAACCTCCAGCGATCACACACGTGTCCTACTTCACGAACAGACTGGATCTCATGGGTGCTCACTGCCACGCCGCGGCCCCAGGTTGAGGCATCTGTGGCATAGACTTCTTTGCTCCAAGGCGCTGAAAGGTCACGCTGTAGTAGTGGAAGCAACGACCTCGCCCAGAAAAGCTCACGACGCACTTGGGGCCATAGCCGAGAATGTCTCTTGTAGCACTTGCGAATAAAGCAATAACAAGCTTGAAAAATGCTCAAGTATTCTCGACGTAGCAAGCCCGCAAAAGTGAAATGACCGATGAACTTTTCCAGCAGTTGTCCTGTGGCCCAGCCTCTTGCGAGAAGCTCGTCAGTGGCCAGCCTCAGTTTCCACAGGCGTCGTGTAGTCACAGTCACCGTCGGGCTTGTGTCACTGAAGTGCCAGCCTAGCGTGTCGCCACCCACCGCTGCTTCAACCTCGTGCGTCGGAAGCCCACGCTCTTGCAAAGCTCCCTGTACTTCAGTAGCGAGCTCTTTCACGAGGCCCTGGCGTTGAGAAAGCGCGACGAAGTTGTCGACATACTCCGTGTGCACGAAAGGCCTCATGTGCGGGGCAGGCTTGCCGTCTACGAGCCGAAGAGAAGCAGGTAGCTTAGGGATACTGTTCACAACGTGTTCGTGGCATTGCTGGCAAATCCACAACGCATGTGTCCATCCCATGGGCACGGCTTTGAATACTGGAAAAACTTTCTGGGTGGGCGACACCGGGCGACCGCCCAGCGTCCACAAGTCAACTTCTCCTGATTGCACAGGTCGCAATCCAAAAAGGTCTCGAAATTCAGTGGGCAGTTCGATCTGGTAGAAAGCATCAGCTATGTCGACACCACCCACCTCTATCGGTGGTCCTGGATCCACGTCCAGCGCTGCAAACGAAGCACCAGTGGCCAGAGACACCTTCGAGGATGCTCCGAACCAACAGTTTGACAATCGAGCGTCTACTATGAGACGCTGTTTGCCCGACTTCTTCCACACACAGAAGAGGCCCACCTGCTCACGCACGTGGAGCCGGTACTCCACGAGTCCAGCTGCTTCAAGCCGTCTTAAAAACTGCACATAGCTCACTCTGCAATGCTTCAGCTTCGGATCAAAATAAGGGGCTTTCAAACCGGCCTCTCTCTTAAAATCGCCCGCTTCGTTTGGAGATACCATCTTCTGGCGCAGCACCTTCACTACGCTCTCAGCCTCCGGCCCTAAGATGGCAGTCAAAGACGAAGGACTACCACCAACCGGAGGAAGGGAGACAAGCTCCCTGTTGAAGGGTGCAAGGCTAGCAGGTTCGCCTGAATAGCCAAGTTTGGCCTGGAGCTCTACAAGGGCTCCCCGACCGGAAAGATCATCTGGAGGCTTTCCCAGACTACGAACAGCATCCCGAAACCTATGCAAACAGGTAGCCTGTGCAAGCGTCGGTTTAAGGGGTTGCTTTGAAAAATCGCCTACGAATTCGTCCCCAGCATACATGCTGTTGAGACTAGTCACAATGTCACGCACCCACCCCTCGACATGACTAGCGGACAAGACACGCCTACGGGATGAGCGAGACAATGACTGGCTTGCAAGTGAAGTTGTGGCAGCGCAGGGCAGTGGCAGAGGGAAAAGATCTCGCTGCCTCTGGCCTTCGCTCAAAACTGCGGGCCCCATGTGTCCAGTGCACGTGGGCGGCGGCAGCTGAGGCCCTACTTCGATGCAGCTGCCCGTTCCTCACGGGCCTTCCTGACCTGCTTCATGACCGATGCATCCTTCTCGACTTCTTTGGATACGTAATCCAAAAGCTCTGGTGCCACCATCGTGTCTCCGAACTCGCGATGCGTCCCAGTGAAGACCGCAGCTTCCGCCTTGTAGGCTTCATCGACCTTTTTCTCCTTATTCTTGCCTGAGCCCTTTCCGCCGCCAGGGCCCCGATCGGAGTAGAAGTACTCGATGAGCTGAAGTCGGCGGAAGGCTAACTCGGCTCCCGCCAGGTTGGAAAGATCAAGGCCATCAAAGCGCCCCAGCCGATCCAAGATCTTCATGAGGTTTTCGTGCTCTGTAGCTCCCCATGCATCCGCTTGCAGCCCGTGATTCGTCATCCACCAACGATGATGATCCATCGGTCCTCCGTTTCTGCGGTTCAGAAAGCGCACACACCACGCGGCAGTCCGCGGACCAGGCACGTTCCAGTCAGCAAACTCCTCCGCATGCGTCTCTTTCGAAACATCTCGCCACAAGCGCTCATCGCGTTGAAGGCCCTGGAAAGAAATCCCCAAGAGTCGGGCATCAGCGGCCGCCTCCTTGCCCTTGTACTTGGAGATATCGTCATCCCCCATCCTGCGGATTGCGATCCATGAGCCACCGTCTGGTTTCAAGGCAAGGTCCCCTTGCACGATCTCGGATCCATCCAATGACACGATATCGCCCCTCAGACGATGCTCTGTGCTCTCGATGCACACCCACTTGCCACCAGCTGACGCAGCACTAGCAGGAGCACCGGCGGGTGCAGCTGCAGGAGGGGCTGCCAGTCCGGGCCCTGCGCCGGGTGGAAAGGCAAGCGCTGCGGCGGCATGTTGTGCATCCAGTCGCATCTGGGTCATCTCTTCGCCTGCGGGCATGTTGCGGAAACGATAGGTGTTGCTATCATCAAGCCCGGCAGGAAGCTGGAGAGCTCTTCCCACACGGAAGCCTGATATGTCATCGTTCTCCAGGCTGATGTGCTCCGGAAAGACATCAAAGTCTGGAGTTAAAACGATGTGCCACCCGCGTCCGCATGCACATGAAGCCAGGACCAAACGCTCGTGCCAAAGCTCAGGCGGCGGTAGATCATAGCAGATGTACACTCGGGTCCCTGCCGCCAGCGACATCAGCGTGAGAGCTCTGTCCGTCGGCGTCTAAGGACCTGCAACTGCTCTTTGGCTCTGTCCTCCACACTCAGTGCTGACTGCGAAAGCTCGTTGAAGGGTGCGGAACGTTCGTTGCCAGTTCTGAGTCTCGAAAGCCAGCGTAGAAACCACCGCAAGCCACTGAACAACGACTGCCAAGCAACGCCGGCAACGGTGAAAAACAGACCTTTGACCAGCTCCCACTTCCAGCTGCTGGATGCGCACTCGCTTTGCTCCACTGCGCAAGTGCAGTTGCACTCACACTGCACAGAAGCGGTGGGGTCTTGCAGCAAGGAAGCCGCCCATGCGGCGAGGAGCAGGAAGGGTCGCCACATCTAAAAGCTTGAGAGATGAACGGAGGCGGCCACTCGTCAGGTTCCTCAAGCCTCAGCAAGCAGGTACAAGGGTCAGGCACTACGGTGAATGATATAAATTCTGCGTAACCCCATAATAAGGAACTATACCATAATTCCCATGAGTTTAGGGACTTAAGGTAATGCAGGATCTATATAATCAACAGTATTCTTCAGGTATGCTTCGGCTCGGTTGGGCCGTCGTGATGCAGAAGCTCCCACCCTTGGCACAGATGGCCGCTTTCCCCCCGGAAGTAGCGGTACTCCGTCTTCAGGAGGCGCCCCGAGACAATGTCGAGGTTTTGCAGTAGTAGTAGTGGTAGTAGTAGTAGTAGTAGTAGTAGCAGCAGCAGCAGCAGTACCAGTCGTAGCAGAACATGCTGCCTGATGGGGCTCATGTCGCTCTGGCGCTGTGCTCAATTCTAATCTTGCGGCATGCGCACATGCTGGTACTGCCAAAGATTCGCAGCGAGATGCTGCCAAGAACGTCAGCAAGCCTTGAGTTTGCGCTGTTGGAACGGTAGAAATCCTTGAGTTTGCGCTCTGTGAAAAAGATGCGCGGCAGCGACGGAATCAGCACCCACCCCCCACCCACCTGCCTCCCCGAACAAAACTACACGAACAAGCGACCCCGAACTGCGTCGCGCGTTTTTGGTTGCAGGCGGCCGATAACATAGACAGTCGTCGGGGGGATGTAGGAGACAAGACAGTAGAAACTTCACATAGGCTCTGTAGGAAGACGTGGCCTGTGCGAGGGACTCGGCAGGTTTCAGCATGTGCATCAACATCAATTTTAGGGTTTAGGGTTTAGGGTTTAGGGGTTTAGGGTTTAGGCTTTAGGGTTTAGGGATTCCCGGAGCAAACGCTTGAAACAGCCCCGCAATCATCCCAGTTCCCACACCCTCTTGCAGGGTTTATGGCTCCCCAAACTCGAAATGCCAGAACCCCCGCCCCCTCCCTGCCAAAGACCTGGACTTCAGGAGAAACGAGGACAAATACATCGCCTCACAAGACCCTGCAAAACCGATGAAACCCCAGCAAAACCTGGAACAGCCTGACAAAAACGTGTAAAACTCTAAAGAACGGCAGCAGAAAGCCATACAATGCCCTTCCCTACACCGGACATGCGCCGCCTCTGCCACTTCCACTGCCTGCTCTCGACCACCAGCCTCCCAAGAAGACCGGGCTTTGGGTCTCAGGGTTTAGGGTTTAGGGTTTAGGGTTCAGGGTTTAGGGTTCAGGGTTTAGGGTTTAGGGTTCAGGGTTTAGGGTTTAGGGTTTAGGGTTTTGAGCCCCCAAAAGTTTGAAACATGGATTTAGGATGATGAGTAAATGGATCCCATCTATCCTAATTTAGGGATAGATACTTGGAGGTTCATGGATAGCTATAAGTGGGGCTATAAGTAAGGTAGCTGTAGCTGTAGTTATAACCCATATTAGGGGACTTATAACCATACTTAAAACTTTAAAACTACCCATGAACCTCCAAGTAATGATTTTGATCTTCCAACTTTCTGGCCCCGCCTCTCGGGCTTCAGGATGACTCTACTTCGCTTAGACTGCGGGCACAGAAGTACCGTTGATGATATAAATCCTACATTGCCTGAAGGACCCTAAACTATGGGAAGTATGGTATAATTCCTTAATTATGGGTATTGCAGGATTTATATCATCAACCGTTAGTTGTTGAAGATCCCTGGAAAAAGAAGCCAGGCACCCAAGAAGCCACGAAACAGCGGCAACCAAGAGGCTTAAAGTCACCCTAACCCCTAAAGCCTGACCCCTAAACCCCTAAACCCCGTAAACAACAAAACCCCTCAACCCTAAACCCCCTGAACCCTAAACCCTAAACCCTAAACCCTAAACCCTAAACACCCCCTAAACCCTCTAAGCCGTACAGCTCTAGAGATGACGCGTTGGCGGCTTCTGAGCACCGGGGCTTAAGGCTCCGGGGTTTCTTAGTTGCTGAGTTCATAAGCACAAAAATTACGTGTACACCTTCAGTGCTATAAGGGATCATATTCTCCCAAGAAGTTTCAAGTAGTTCGATAAGGGATCATAGTGTCCCAAGAAGTTTCAAGTAGTTCGATAAGGGATCATATTATCCCAAGAAGTTTAAAGTAGTTCGATAAGGGATCATACTGTCCCAAGAAGTTTGAAAAAGGGTATGCTCATTCAGCTGCTAAGAACCTAAACCCTAAACCCTATATCCCAAGAAGTTTAAAGTGTACTCACTCAGCTACTAAGAACCTAAAACCCTATATCCCAAGAAGTTTAAAGTGTGTACTCATTCAGCTACTAAGAATACCCTAAACCCTAAACCCTATATCCCAAGAAGCTTGAAGTGTACTCATTCAGCTACTAAGTCTAAGGTGTGTGCTCGAGGGCAGACGGAGAAGGCTGTCGGGCTCAGAGCTGAGATTTTAGGGCTTCGGGGTTTAGGGGTTTGGGGGTTTAGGGGTTTAGGGATTCAGGGGCTTTAGGGGTTTAGGGGTTTAGGAATTTAGGGGTTTAGGGGTTTAAGGGTTTCGGGTTTAGGAGCAACAAGCGGAAAGATACAATGTCCCAAAGGCCTACCTAGCATAACACCCCCCTGCAAAGCCCCCCTCGCAAAGCCAGCAGCCTGGTCGCTGTTTGGCGCGATGTCTCTGGCAGCCTCTGGAGCAAAAGGTTCACGGAGACTGCGTGCTTGAGGGCTTCAGGCTTGGGGCTTTGGGTTTGGGGTTTATAGGGTTTAGGGTTTAGGGGTTTGGGGTTTAGGTTGTAGGGCTTTTGGGGTTTGGGGTTTAGGTTATAGGGTTTACAGGGTTCAGGCTTTAGGGTTTGGGCTTTAGGGTTTACGTTGCTGGTATCGTTGCAGGGGGCTGTACTCAGGCTTCCAATGCCGCCGAAGTTCGGGGCAACCTTTGGTTCATTGTAGGGATCATTTTTCCCAGAGACTCCGAAACCCTTTAATTAAGGAACATACCTTAAAGTTTATTAGGGTTCCGATTATAATTTCAGGTATATTCCTGAATTAACGGGTTTTGGAGTCTCTGGGTTCTGGATATTATTACTTAGCTGCCCAGTACCCTGGCCCAAAAAGTTCACACTTTTCTTTTAGTAGGGGTTTAATATACCGAAAAAGTTTAAAGTTTACCTATTGGGCTCCCAAGATTAAGCCCTAAACCCTAAACCCTGATATTATTGGATTTAGGATCCAAGGCTCTGGGAACTTTCCGGTCCTCTGGGGCTCCGGTGGGCGCGTCCAAGCCACGGCAAAGCTCCGCCAACCCGAAACTTCCGGAGGACAGAGCCGAAACCTACTTGGAGGTTCATTGGGGTAGTTATCAGTAGGGTTATGGGGTTCCTTTAAGGGTTCCTTTCAAGGGTTCTATAGGGTTCTTTTTGGTTCTTTAGGGTTTAGGGTAGTTATAAGTAGGGTTATAAGTCCCCCAATATGGGTTATAATGCTAGCTACCCTACTTCTATCCCCATCTTATAACTACCCATGAACCTCCAAGTATACCACATACTGCACGCACAACGCTCCCCTGATTGAGGGATGGATGCCAGGATTGTTATTGGGCTCGGCTAAGCTTTCCTATAGATAAACCTAAACCCTCAACCCCTGGAGCCCGCAAAGTCACTTCCCCAAGGCATGGTCTTCTACGTTGTCCTTTTGCGGAAAAGGGATATTCCTCACACTCTAGTCCTGTTTAGGGTTTAGGGTATAAGAGGAATCCTTTCACGAAGTTTAGCATAGCCGGCCTGTCTACAACCCTAGTTCGGCCTTCATCTCAATCTGAAGGGCCCCACAATGCCTCGAAGCTCGCTCGTAGCGTCGACTTATTTGGCTTGGGATTTGTGGGATTCTGTGAGCTTGGCCGTGGGAGCCTGCAAGGTTAACGGCAGGTGCACAGGAGTTCAAGACTTCTGTTTGAGTTTCAGGAGCGTTGTTGAGAAGCTGTAGGTTAGGGTGTCGCTGCACAAGCTCAAGCTTTAGGTCGGGAGAATCAAAGCTTCACATATCTCTTTTTGCTACCAAAAGCACTGCCCATCTAAATGATCGTCTCAGTCGAGCCGGCAAGGACCATTCGTGAACTCTAGCGATCGTTGCGCTGTACACCCCTCCACATCACCATAGGCGAGGGCTTCGGGGCGGGGTTCAGGAGCTTGGGATGAAAGCGTCAAAGGCGCTAAAGGCTTTCTAGGTTAGGGTGAGGAGGCTAGGACGGCTCACGACCATCACCGCGACCTTGCGGCCCTGTGATGGTATTGGTATCACGAGAACAAGGCGCAACTGACGAATGTCATTCTAAATGTTGTCAACACCGTGGAGGGGTGCGATTTGGGCTCAAGGCTCTTGACTGAAGACTCTCTCCTAATCCAAGAATCCATCAAGTAGCCTGAACTTTAAGCCCTCATCACTCCATTGCTCAGAACCCTTTACTCACTCTTCCTTCAATCCACAGAGGCCAATACCCCATCGCTGAAAAATGGGGCCCTTGGCCGTCCACCTCTCAAGAGTCTCCCCGCAGCTTCGCGGCAACGACCGGAGAGGAGCCTGTGGCGATGCGTATGGTCTCACTGTTCGTGCTCTTCTTGCGACGGTGGCGATGGTGAATAACAGTGAATGATGATAATGGT